AAGCGTCGCCTAAATGTAATAATTAGCACGTTGAAATAGGCTAGTAAAGTTTAACTGGGTTCGTAAATAATATTGGCCTCAAAATATTGTGGCTGAGACATGGGCCGATTAAACGTAGAAATAGGAAACCTAGAAATATAGTAAAAACGCTGAATAGTAATACTCCAGCGTCGCGAAATGCGGATGTTGGTACGAGTAGGTTAGTCTACAAACGCCGCCTAAAGTAATTGATTTTACCCGGCAGAACGAAAGGAGGAAACTCAGCTTTTCAGTTGTCTTAGACCCTCGTTTTTTGACAAACAATGACCTTTCAGAGGTCAAATTGCTGTCAAGAATATGAATTGGCTGCTTCGCAGCAATTAGAAAAACAGAGGGAATCATCTTATACTGTACGTGCAACTCGTACAAATTTTTCTTATTTTAAAATCATGTTTGTCTTACGTGCGGATCGTTTGTAACATGCATATTTACTACTTAAATGAAGCTACGGTATGAATGAACGCAATTTTAAATGTGGGGAAATAACATTTTGATGATGATTTAAAACCCCTAAAACGGTAGGCCTATTATTTGGAAGGTTCTGTTTTAGCCATCCAGATGCAGTATTAAGACTATAAATGAGCACCAAAAAGTAGGAATTCAAACAGTGAAAATTGTCAAAAAATCTTCTTACACTCGAGGAACGTCTTATAGTGATCACCTTATACGCAAGAATATACGGTATATAACACAGAGTGAGATGATACACAAACACACAAACAAAATAGAACTCCTTGTTCATTGTTTTTCTTCTTTAATATTTCAGTGACTTGACCTGTCACTCATTATATTCACAAAGTCACAAATTTTTGTATGGGAGTTTTAGAAGACCATCTTGTGAGGGTATTGCTTGTTGCTAAGATAGAATGGCATTGACATGTAAGGCTTCAAGTCCACAACATCTTTGATGATTGTCATCAGCTGGCCGTCAACATCACGCTGATCCTCCTTGCGTTCATCCGACACAGTGTATTTCTGAAATAGTAAGCACAAATATAGAATTATTCACAAATGAATATACAGTGCCTATTAGTCCAAGAAAAAACTTGACCCAAATCTTGATTCCTGATTTTGCAATGCACCGAAAAACTCAGCACTACCACGACAGAGAGAGGGCGTACTATTATAATGTTAGTAGCGTTCGAACAGGCATTTTTTACATGTAGAGTGTGTAGGATACGAAAAACTTTTTACTTGTATATCTTCTCTTTTGAATGAGTGCCCTTTAAGTCGAGGTAGTACTTTTTGAGATATGACTGCATTTCATATCAAAACTTCTTGTCCAACACATTTATATCAGTTAAATTTACAACACCAGCAGCACCAACAATAACAACATCTGTATTACTGTGACATCACAACAACTTTAAATATTTGATTTCATAAATTATTAAATTGTGAATTTAATGGTATTACAGTACTTATATCTTTTCAATCGTGCATGCATGCAGTTATATCAAGAAATTGTTTAATGTAACATACGGCCATGTGTGTTTATTCTTAACAATAAACATTATTAAACAAACATTTTTGTGAATATTTGGAATCTATAAATTGTATGCAATTATACAGTATATAATTCTATTTCCAATGATAAAATCATTATAAATATTATTTATTCCAGAATATTAAATTGATTATACCTACAATTATTATGTATTTGCATACACCTGTACAATGCCCAAATTACTATTCATATACAAGTACAACTGAAACACAAGAAAAACAATAATTATTCATGAAGACTTTCGTGAATTACAGACCTGTTCTTCACTTTCAAAGATCTCTCCTTCTTGATGCTTTGGTTTCTTTAATTTCTGTCGTCTGAAGTATTGATCATTGAGTCTTTCTGGAACCTTGACGCTGCTGATGTCAAGCTTTGTCTTGGTGGCAATCACATACTTCTGATTGATGCGTCTTAGAGGGCAACCATTCAATTGCATCGGACCTGTAGTGTCAAGAACAAAACACTTTCAACTATATACAATTCTTACTAGTAAGTCATTAATAATTACCCTTATTAGCACAAACAGTACCATATTTATGGATGAATAAACTGTGCATTAATTCATATTGCAAACCTCTATTTTCTAACTTCTAAGTTTGGCGAGTTGAATGGCCAAGCAGATAAGGCGGGGGCGCCGCACGCACATCCACAATATTGGCTCTGGATCTACACTTGCCTATGGTTCTGGTGGTGGAACAAGTCTTCTCGAATAAGGACACAATTTACGATTTACAGTGTACACATTTTGGGTCATGTGCTTTAAAGAAGCCAGTACGTCTTTCGAGATGAATATGGGGTTACCCCAGTGTACTGGTTCATAAAGCCAGTGTTGTGGACAGATGAGATAGCTTGTACTGGTTTACCGGGTAGCTCAGAGAAGAAGAGACCCTTAAGATTGCAGCAAGTTATTGTACAATCTTGTCCACACCTTAAGCACTTACAAAGAGACTTCAGTATAAAGCGCTATATAAATCACTGCACTACATCACAATAAATTGTCAAAAGTTCTGTTTAAAAAAAGTATTGTGTGCATGGTTCAACCAGAGAAAGCATTCTAGTGTAAAGGTAATTTAAACATTTTTAAAAATGTATAATATATTTTCTGTTTTCCATGTTTATATTAATAATAATGGTAGACTTATACAGCGCATATAGTTAAGCCCTCTATGTGCTTCACATTTTCATTACGCCGGTCATTGGATTAAACACCTAATGGAACACAAGCTCAAACTTTTATTTTTATTCCGCCCTCCTCTGTTGATCTTCAAAAAAATAAGTATATGCAACAAGGAATAAAAAAAGTCTCGCTTAACCACTTGTACTCTTGTGTGGAGAGAAACAATGTAGATAAAGTGCCTTGCAGGGACACAAGCGAAGTGAACAGCGAGGGATTGAAACCCTGACCTAGAGGCTGAGAAACAAACCGTTCCCGCTGTGCCAAGCCACTTCTATTACAAAGAGACTTATCTATCAGCTCCTTGTTGAAAGGCTTACTAATACCCTCACAACATTTTTGTCATTTAAATGCGCTCCAAGTTTGCCACCTAGCAGATCTAACAGATTACTTTTTCTGGATATCTGGTGGAATATAAATTCCATCAATGGAAAATATTATTTAAATTAAATAATCTTGTTACCTGTGATAAGGAGGAGACCGGAGGACAATTGCTTCAAGAAAACAACTCTCTTTCCCTTGTATCTGCCAGCAACAAGAATCAGAACAGTACCAGGAGTGATTGAGGCACGGATTTTGTGCTTGTGTTGAAAGAAAGGCTTTTTGCGGGATCTGAATTTCCTTGGAAGGTCTTCAGTGGGGTAATATCGGGGCTAAAGAGAAAAAAAAATTACTATATTTATTTTATTTATTATTTATATTTATTTTACAAAGTTATTTTTTGTATCATTTTGCAAATGTTTTAAATAAAAGCAGTAAAACTTTTATATTATATATAAGGAAATGTAAGAAGTAAATTAATTCATTACAGGATTGAGCCAACTGATCAGGCCTGGTGAAAAAAAAATCGTGCCTCCAGGTAGTAAAATTATGTTCACAGAATGCCTCTCGTCACCAAAAATGAATACATCATATGGCAGAAAAAAAGGTTTTCTGAATATATTTTGTAGAAATACAGTAAATGCATCTGAAAATTGTGTAATGCTTCTGATTACAGGTAACACAGTCATGTATTTTTTTTCCAGCCCTACAAATTGATGTTATTCGACCAGAAAGCTTAACTGTGTGCCTACCAGACGGTTTGCACGGACTTCACGCTTTCCTCCATTCTTCTCGCCATTGATCTGCTTCTCCACCATAGCTGCTGGTCTCTTCACTTCTTTCTTAGCGACCACCTGAGAAAATTGTTAAATGCCTTAAAATATGACTAAATATATTCTGGTTTATCTTATTCCTATCAATATTTATGTACAAAAAAATTATTCTTTGTATTTGCTGAATTTATAAAGCTTTTAATTGACACGTTGTTAAAATGAGGTCATGAGTTGTATAGAAAAAACTCCTGCAGCTCAGTATCAACTTTTAAAAAAAAACAAAGATTTATTAATATTAAATTACAATACATAACACACAAAAGACAAAAAAAAAATTATAGTTGCTCGATGATTTTAAAAGCATCGATGATGATTAAACATTACATTTTTCAACTTACCCTTTTTCTCTTGTACATGGCGGTTCTACGGTACATCTGTGATCGGCTGAACCGAGCAACTCCACCATCCAGCCACTTCTGGCGAGAGCAGTGATTTTTCTTAACCTTCTTATTCCCCATGCTGAAAATACACAAATGTAAACATAGCACTACTATTTTAAACAAATTTATAGTGACCTGTACAGGTCTAGGCATAAACTAGTATTACGTAGTATTAGGCCTAGTTAGTAACTCACCAAGCAGCAATGACAAAGTCTGTACTGTGTATCTCTGTAGTAACCAGGGGAGTAGGCCTACCCTCCTAGGCCTACCTGTGAACTTGAAGCTACCACATTGTTTGTATTAATAAAAGGATTTTGGCAAGGCTATTAGGCCTAGTAGTAGGGCCTAGCTAGGCCTCAACATGCATGAAATGGCATCATCACTGTATGATTAATGATATTTAACTAGGACCAAAGTATACAAAAAACGAAGCCACTACTACCACTCTTATTACTTAAGAAAACAGATGTATTCATTTCGCACAGCATCTGAACCTACTGTAAACCCAATTTACCAATGAAACATTCATGGGGTTTTGATTCGTATTATTAAAAGTCGTGTACAATATAAAGAAATAAGAACATTTTTGGGTAGATTTAACTTTATTTAAATGTTATGTGAAGAAAATTGAACGTATCACTCCTTGATTTCTATGATATAAAGCCGATTTTAATACACTTAGCACAATTTGACTTACACGAATTCGCCGTAAAATGAAAAGACCGACCCTTGACCTCGAATTTTGTAATGAGCTTATAAAATTTTCCGTATAATCTGTATAATCGGGTTGGACTGCAGATATTCTCAATGGTAGTATTACCAGAATAAGTATAGGTGGTTTTGTGTTGTTTTTGTTTTTGTGTAAAGACTGAGTAACTTGATTGTTGAATTGCCGCAATTTACAACAGCGTATAAAAAATACAATGCCTGGTAGTAATAAATTGTATTTATTTTATGAGATATCTGAGTAGACATATTTCATTATTGATAGCTAGCTAGGCTAGACCAGCCCTGGCTAGGTAGGGGAGGACTCGAGCGAGAGGCCTAACCTAAGCCCGGCCTGGGGACTGCAGAGAGAGGCTTAGAGGAGGCTTAGCCTAGCCAGAAGCAGAACAGCTCCCTGGCCTAGCCAAAACCAGAAGGCACTAGCTAGCAAGCCAACCTACACCACCCTACTCACTGCTAGTAGTCTAGACTAGGTGGATCATAAGCCCTCTTCCTTCATCTAAATAACATTATGAAGACGCACAAACAACATGCCTTGTCTAGCCTAACCTAGGCCTAAAGTCTTGTTCCAGGTTAACTCATTTAAATCAATTTAATGATGCATTGTCCAACCACCCATTAAAGTTTGCACTGTATATTAATAGTAATTTTGTGTTCAAGAGGGGCTTGCCTCAATCCCGAAGGACGAAAGATGCCTACAGGAACAAGTAAAGGTTATTCTCATATCTTTATTTGTCTCAAGATATTCTACACCACAATGCAATGTATATTATTTTTAACCTTCATTTCGTTCCAGATGAATCCTTGCCGGCAGAAGGGATTGATTACAAGAAAAAATATAAAACTTTAAAAAGAAAACTTCGCTTTCTAATATATGTAAGTCTTATATCAATAAATATCAAATGGTTATGTTTAATCTTGTGAATGAAGTTGAATAACTAATTTTTACTTTTCAGCAATTATTCTAAATGAACTTAATGTTCAAAAGAGTTATTACTGTATTATCTTGTATGATTTGCATTCACTGCTGCATATCATAATCCTAGAAAGTATCAGAATTTACAGAAAAGTATGCACATCATCACAAAACTACACAAAATCATCCAGAGCAGTCAGACAAAACATTATTAACTGATACAATAAGATTTAGGTTTTTAGGAACAAAATTCCAACAGTCTATAAACATTTTGTGATAATGCTTCTTGTCCGTTTGAACAGTGGTGATGATCAAAATATCAGGATGCAAATATACTTTTATTCTCATGTCCTTAACAGTTTCAATCGAAACATACTGACACAGTTGGTACGGTACTACACAGTATTGCATATACCGGTAACCATCTTTTCTTTTGTAGACAACAGCCATTGACCTTTCCATTTGAACATGTGGAGAACAGATGTTACCACCCTCATGTCCCTATCAAACAATACAGGCCCGTAGCCAGGGGGGTTTTTAGGGGTTCGGGCGAATCCCCCTTTTTCAGCGAACCCCCCTTTTGCCAGCGAACCCCCTTAACCAGAAAACGATCCCCTTAACCAGAAAACGATCCCCCGTTTCCAAAATAGGGCAATTTATTACAAAATGGGAGCATTTTTGGCACTGTTTATTTATCGTATTTATCGTAGCCTATGAGGCCTATTATTTGCGAACGATTTTATTATTTATTTTTTAATCGAGCTAGCATAGGCCAGGGCCTAGGCTAGCAAGGAAATATACTTGGTAATGTTTTCACATTTCGTCAGAATTAACTGACATTATTCATAATAATATACCCTCCCTGGGCCCCCTCTATTTCAAATTACAGGATCCACCACATGTGTCATGTAATATTACCACCCCTTATCTTATATATACACTATCCTTTAGTTGCTAAGCACTTCTTGAAACCTAAGTGTACATTTAAAATCTTTTACATTTCTTTTATATACATCAAGTTGAAACATATTTATGTATACTATTGTAATATATTTCTTGTAATTTTTGGTAACTATTTTATAGAAATTTGAAATAAATTTGCCAACCAAGTGAATGTTTAGTTAAAATGTTGATAAATATCCTGATTACTTTAATTCTCTATTTTACATACCCTTCCAATATTTCAAATATCCATTTCAGAACTCAGCTGCATATATTACTGTATAACCTAGTTATGTTCAGATGGCCTTCCGTCTAAAGTAAAGCTACAACAGACTTTTACATGCATGTTACTAAAGATGAGTGTCCACACGATTTTTATCCAGGGCATAATGTTCTTTTTACGTCAATGCTACTTCAAAGCTTAAAAACAACTATGCAAATTTTCTGGAAGTGATTTTCTCTCAACAGTTAATTTGCACACAAATTGTAAGCAGTTATGAAAACATTGTATCTACAAAAGTTAAATAACTTAATCAAAGAGCGTCTTCATGGGCACTATCCCCCCTCCCCGGCTTTCAAGTGAACTGCTGCTTCAAAGCTTTCTTCTAAATCGTCTGAACTAATAGATCACCACTCTCAAACCACAGCTTTATTGAGTTTCACTGATTCGCATATCAAGTTTCAGATCTTGCTTCTCCCTTTCAAAGCACCTCCCTTTAAGCAACCATCTATGTCCCTAGATGCTCATTCATATCTCGGATCATCCGATAAGGTTTTGCTGTTGCCCGCACACACTCCAGAACTATTGGAAACAGATTCATTCACTGCACACATTGCAACTTTTCATTCATTGAGTAAATTGATGAAACCTTTTTTTTGCCTAAAACATGCACAATGCCACTAAAGCTTTGTCTAAACTATCAAATTTCATCAAAAAATTGTCACATAAAATGTGATGGAACATAAGAGTTGAACATGTTCAACTTTTTTTTATACTATTTAATAATACATGATACAACATCATTGTACCCATATATAGGCACATCACACTTTTTTGTCACATAAAATTTGATAGTGTAGACAAAGCTTAATACTGTACTGAACTTTCATTGCCTAAATAATTCTCTGTATATTTTCATTTGATAATCAGTGCTGAAATTGCTTGTTTTCAGACAGTGATAACTGAGCACATGCTCATGCTGCATATTTGTTGGTAGTTAAATGTTCTGGGTTCTCATTTCATAGTCAAACAGATTGTGTGCTTACACTGCATTTTTGCTGATAGCAAAACTGAGTATTTTATCAGGGAACTCACTAGCTGATCGCTAAACTAAGCATATTGTCATGTGCACATTTGCTTGCAGTCAAACTCAACATATACACAGGTTGTTCATTTACTGGTAGCTAAACTGAGCGTGTGATCGTTATGTGTTGAGAGCTAAACTCAATATGACCTCAGGGTGCTCATTCGATAACAGACTATGTACCAGCTGAGAATGCTCAGCTGCTTATAGACAAATTGAGCATCTGCTAAGTGTAGCTCATTTACTGTTAGCCAAACTGATTGTGCGATCATTTGCTGATAGCTAAGCTCAATATGAGCTCAGGGTGCTCATTTGTTGACTAACAGACTATGTACCAAGAATGCTCAGCTGCTGATAGACGAATTGAGCATCTGCTAAAGGTAGCTCATTTACCAAACTGATGCCAAACTGAGAGTGTGATCATTTGCTGATAGCTAAACTCATATGAGCTCAGGGTGCCCATTCGATTAACAATTATATATCTGCTGAGAATGCTCAGCTGCTTATAGACAAACTGAGCATCTGCTAAAGGTAGCTCAATTACTGATAGCAAACTGAGCATGTGCTTAAGTCGTTTGATTACTGATCGCCAATCTGAGCACTAATGTCAAGTTGCAAGTCTAAGAACACTATTTGTAACTTCTTGTATCCCTGTATGACCTCGGATGTGGTTTGCTCTCACAATACATCATGGCCACTACTGTGCTGCTGTCTGCATTGCCTTAAACTCTTGTTGAACATTATTACATATGCAGTGCATATCCTTAAGTATCCAAGCTTGAAGCGGCTCTAGCAGATTATTAACTTCCCCAAGAACTCGAATTGTCTGAAATAAAACATAAAACAATTGGTTTTTTTAAATGTTTACAGCAGTTAACAATATAACAATATAGATTAATAGTAGCAACAATAGATCAAGGTCCAGGTCTCCCTCCATTTAAAAACCTCTCCAAGCTGCAGGAAATTAGTTTAAGTTGAGCAATTAAAGATGTTTCTATGGTCATGGATGAACACCTACTCTACCATGAAAAACCTGCTACAAAATCTGGTCTTTTATAGGACGAAGACCAGTATTAAACTACTGGTGATGAATAAATCGACAGGCAACATCCTTCACAACTTCTGATTTCATTTTAACTGATGGACACGAATAAGTGGTCATCCTATGAATCCAACCCTCGACCTGTTGATTGGAAGCACAAAGCTGTGCTACTGCACCACACGATTCTCTTACCTGTTTCTCAATACAAAGAATGAGCTCTTTGGAGACTCGAGTTCTTTCGGTGATTAATTGTAATTTTCTTTTGATAACAAGCCAGAGGCTTTGAGGGGCAAATGTGCAGCTGTTGTCCAGAACACTCTCTAGTTTCTGCTGGTAAGCTTTCATCATCTTCCCCAAAGACTTGCCATCAAATCCATGCTTGATTTGAAAAAGAAATTGTGTAGTTAACATCTGTTGTGGATAGGGAATCTAGGATTTTCACAATTTCATCATGTACTAAATAGATTATAGTGTATAACTTCAATAGGGTCCCAAGACTTTTGGAAGTCGCGGGAGTTTCCCGGAAATCGGGGCTGCCTCTTATACCCATTTCACACTGATGCTATTTTGCAAATATTAACAACTTGTAACAAGTTGTAACCAGGTTTGGATGAGTGTGAAAGCAAAATCCTTGTAAACTTTCCAAGATTTCACAGGGGTCCCCTGAGTTATCTCGGAACAAAAACAGACCATCGCGAGGCCTGTTTTTTTCCTGAAATCTTCCGAGTTGTTGTTGCGCATGCGTCATGTCCATATTTTGACCTTTTTGCGGGCTGTGTTTTTTTTTTTTTTTTAGTTCGAACGAATGGCGGCAGCGATGGAAAATGTATCAACATTACTACCATTTTTTAATAGGCCTAGACCTAAAATCAAAAGAAATCTCGCTAAATTTCACATGTCTGATGTAGAAACAATCACGAGGCTTCGTAAAATACGCCGACAGCGAATCATTATGATGCTTGTCGCACTGATTGCCTCTAACAACAATGGTGAGCTACCGGCCGGCAGCCCGACTGCGCCTAGCTAGCCTAGGCCTATGCCTAGCTTAGCCTAGGCCTATCTTTCTCGCCAGCTCGACTACAGCAAGCGAGCTAGGAGTTGAATTCGTTTTACTCTCCGAAGGCTAAGGACCATGGAATAATTATAATCTTGTTAATTCGGTACCAGGCCTAGTATAGTAGTTGATATGTAATTTGGACAACCTACAACTAGCCTAGGCCTACTAGTACTACCCTAGGCCTCTAGGCCTAGTCATAATATTTTTCCAAGTTTTACCGAGATTTCTCATGGTTTGAAAGTGCATGTGTGAAACGAACCAAAAATCTCGGAATATCAAACTTGTTACAACTTGTTAATAGTTGTTAAAAGTTGTAATATTTTCTGCTAGTGTGAAATGGGTATTACACTCCGGCAAGCAAGCAATAATCTCCCAGAAAATAACTCATCTCTTGAAAATTCATAATTATTTGTATGTTTTACTACTTCATTATCATTTGTCTCAATGAAGTCGGTGCCTCAGGGTTTCACCATGGGCAGCAAAATAAAATGAAATATGTTAGCAAAGCTAATTTAACCAGATCTCCCAGATTTAGGGAACACATACATTGGTTTGATGGAGCTGATTGGCTAATGCTGAAGTAACATTCTTGTTATAGTATTATAGGCCTGAAATATTAGCCTATGATAGTTGAAATGATATTAAGATAGGTCCAATATCAAACTGCTATAATTACCTCATCTTTGTTGATGACGTCTGCAGTTCTGGCACCCCTAGCCTGTATCACTTTGAGGGCGTGTTTCACTAGCTCTTGCATGGCAATATTCAAGTGTCTAAGGTACTCCAAAGCTGGACCTTGGCAATGGAACATGTGCCAGATATCTGCTAGGCAGTCAGTTTTCTGAAATGGCAGGTGAAGAAAAAATTGTTTATTTACATATTAATGTAATGAGTAACTACACCTCATTCACACAACAAAAAAGCTCTAAATAGTCGTCATCATCATCATCATTCAACTGCTGTGCAGACGACCCCTTTTTCCATTCCTGTCTGTATGCAGTTATTTCTATAATGCCTTCAGATGGTAATTCTTTCAATTGGGAAAATTCCTTGAATGTATGACAGTTAATTTGTGTTTTGTTTTCCTCTTGCATACATAAATATTAACAAATTTTAACAAGGGTATTTTCACTAGAAAGGATATTTGTAATAACACCAAATAATATCTCTTTTTATATCTCAGTAAAATAAAAACAAACCTCAAAGAAACCTGTAAACTTTCTGAGATGTTTAGCAAGGATCTGTGCTCAAAGTAACAGGGCAAGCTTACCTTTCACTTACCTTTTACCTTGTACCTCTGCAAATTAATTGTACTGACGGGTGTCGGCTAATTCATGCAAACTCGTACCCACTTTGGCGAACACATACATAAATTTAGGTGAACTCGTGCCCAACATTGTCAACTCATACCCATGTCTATTCGTACCTTTACTTTGGCGTAATAACAAATCTAATATTGAATATTGCTATAGGCTATATACTGTACTGCATTTGTTTACCAAATCAAGCTTTGCACGAATTACACTAAACTTTAGTGAATATTTCAGCTTTGATAGTACTCACTATTACTGTATAATAGCGCCTGCCTCGTTATAGTTTTGAGGCCTTGTCAGTCATAAATTTATAAATTTCATTCCTGCTGTATCAAGAATCTTCTAATTAGTATGTTTTTAACAATATTGTAACATGATTACTATAGAAATAGATAATGTTTGAAATATAAAGGTAGATCTTACACTAAACTTGGGTGCAGGCTAGCCTGTTATGGGTAGGAGCCAGCCAAAATTTAGGTACGAGTTGTGGGTATGAGTTGGCATGTGAACAAGTTGGCCTAAATAATTTTAGCAAGGTTTGTATTTAGTTGTGAAGTGTGAATGCAACGAATCTAAATAGGTAAATATATGGATAGATATTTCTGTTCATATTTAGTGAATTTTCTGTCATGTGAATTGGGTATTAGAATAATAGGTTTTGAATATAGATTGTCTCACCTTCTCTATTACAGATTTGATTAACATCAATTGATAAGCTTCCAATAAGTTGTTGCCTGTCAAGCTTTGGAGAATCTGCTGCTTCAGTGAGGTGCTGACTGCTTGAATTCTAGATGCTTTAAAAGGATTTGATCCAGATGAAAGCTGTGCATAATGGTTGCATGCCTAAGAATAAAACAAATATAATTATAATTATTCTTCTATTTTAATGGGGTTTTTTTATATTTTGTGTTGTTATTCAAATTATTTTAGACTGTTTTATGTGTAGTGGGCATTCTAGGAAAACAGCAGCATTTTACTGAAGAGGAAACCCAGTATAAAAAAGAAATAAATAAAATTGAAAATAACATTCATATGCTTTTCCATATTAGTTATGTGTACAAATTAGATAAAAAGAAAAATGCCCACCATGTCATCGTCATTACCAAATTGGTATGCCGGCCCTGCTTTGGTGGATTTTTAGCCCATCATGTCATTGTCACTACAACATTTATATGCCTGCACTGTTAGTGATGAATGTTTAGCCCATCATATCATTGTCACTACATAATTGGTGTGCCTACCCTATTTTGATGGATGTTTAGCCCATCATGTCATAGTCACTACAAAATGTGTATGCCTGCCCTGTTAGTGATGAATGTTCCGCCCCCCTCCCCACTGCCCATGCCTTCCCTGTTAGTGATGAATGTTCAGCCCCCTCCCCCATATGTCATTGCTATTATATCTGCCCATGCCTGCCAATGTTCAGCCCACCATGTCACGCCTAAATTCATAAAACTGCCTTGCTATTCTTAAATTCACAATCATATTCTCACCTCACTTGGACTGAGAAATATATTGCAATACAAGGAGTGTGGCATCTGAGGGAAATACACCTCCTGCCTAAAAGCAAACAAGAATACAAGCAATCAATAATCTGTAGATATAAATAATAAACTAAAGTCTATTCCAAATATGAACTGCAGTGTGAATGGATTTCCTGCTTGCAGAGTAA